TGGAGGAGCTGGGACTGCTGTTCTAAAAACTGCAGCTTTGGTGCTGACAAGGTATTTTTTATTTAAACTGTCCTCTGCATATTCTTTTGTTTCTTATCCGAAAAAAAAAAAAAAGGAAAGGAAATCAAGGGTGCAAAAAAACTAGTCTCACAAATTGTAGTCCTAACATTACTTAAAAAATGTACTCCACTCTAAAAGAATAAAACCGAACTGATAATTTCAAAAAAAGTGGAGAGACTAACACCCTCGACGAGTTATTCTAACGAACAATATCCAAAGCCTCATTGGCAGATCCTCCATGCCCCTACAAATCCTGCTATCCCAATCGAGCCAAAAACCCCTTTTGCTAATAATCTGGTGTTGGAATTTCTCTCATATTGGTATTACTTATCTTCATAAAATTGTAGTCTGTCTTATGCTAACCTTGATAAGCAAGTACATTTTTCTGCATTCTGCATGCGTTTATTGTTAATGGCGCAAATCATGCTGTCTGTAAATTTGTGTATTAAATATTCTTTTACCTCACCTTGGATACAATAGTGACTATTAGCTTGGTTGTTGAACCTGAGATGCACCAAATTCTTCAATCTTGCGTTGTTTCCTTTTGCCCATCATGTTTTTTTGTGCTTATCAAATACTGATTTTGTTTTCTGGGACTTTCTGACAGATCTTATGATGCTTTACGCGGCAGTCCTCTGTTACTTAAATTAATTCCAGCAGCTTGCGTCATTGCTTTTGCTGCTTGGGGTGTTGGACCTCTTATGCGTTTGGGGAGGGTTCTATTTCTTCATGTATTAATCTTAACATATCATTTTATTTTAATGAGCTGGTAGGCAAACATCTATTAGTTCTGATTATTCATGAAAATTTTGTTGCAGGAGCCCGATGGCAGTTGGAAGAAAAGTAATGCATACTATGTTACGACTTCCTACGTTCAGCCTTTACTGCTATGGATGGGAGCCACATTGATCTGCAGGTCAGCTTTCGTCTGCAGTCTGTATTACTCGGGCTAGCTGATCTTGTTCTGATGATGCTATAGGTACTAAATATAGAAGCTTTGTTTCAGGGCTTTGGATCCAGTAGTTTTACCGTCAGTAGCCAGTCAGGCCATCAAACAGCGACTTCTAAATTTTGTTCGAGCTTTGTCTACTGTTCTGGCATTTGCCTATTGTATATCAAGGTGGTGCAAAGTTCTGGGACTTCAGATTTGCTTTTGATATTTTTGATTGAGTGATGTTGAGCGCCAATGCAAATGTTACTGCATTATGATTCTAACAGGCTTTAACTTCCATGCAGCTTGATTCAACAAGTACAAAAATTCGCTACGGAATCAAATGACTCAAGTGATGCTAGAAATGTTTGATTTTCTTTCTAATTTCATTTTTTCATTTTTTCTTTTGTCATTTATGCATGTTTAACCAGTTCTAAATTTAAATTAGTAGACGTCTGCTTGCTATTAATCATTGCCAGTTAGAATGAAGATAGAAATTATGAATGGATACTCTGTTTAGGATATCCTTGAATGGATAACTTACGGTGGAGAGCTAAGCCATAGGTTAACCCTGCCAACTAAACTAATTAAAATCAAAATGAATACGAAGTTAACCCGTACACGCCTACGTTACTTGGATATATTGAGTTAGCCTTTTAAAACTAGTCCCTTTTCTTATTTTCTGCCTTCATTTTTGATAGATGGGCTTTGATTTTGCGGGGAAAGCTGTTTACACTGCAGTCTGGATTGCTGCTCTTTCATTGTTCATGGAGTTGCTAGGTTTTTCTACCCAAAAGTGGCTCACGGCTGGGGGTCTTGGTACTGTATTACTTACCCTTGCTGGTCGTGAGGTAAACCTTCTCTCCTGTACACACTGTCATTTTTTAACACTACATTTATGAATCTTACAATATTCTTGGGTTCATAGTCGAGCGTGCCATTGCTATTCACCGAAGTTGTTGTCATTTTCCCATTTACCAGACGGTCTCTTACCAGATAAATTTACTCCATGGTTTTGATGTATGCAGATATTTACTAACTTTCTCTCAAGTGTAATGATTCATGCAACACGACCATTTGTGGTAAATGAATGGATTCAGACAAAGATTGATGGATATGAAGTTTCTGGAACGGTTGAGGTTTGCGCTTTTTAACTTCATCATTACCTTATGGAATATGTTTTTGATAAGAACAGAAGGGAAAACATATCAATTTGGTTTAAAAAAGTTCTCTTCTAGTTTTGGTTGATTTTCCTTTCTGACATGCATTTTCCAAATGCAAGCACGTTGGTTGGTGGTCGCCGACTATTATCCGAGGCGATGATCGTGAAGCAGTCCATATTCCAAATCACAAATTCACCGTTAGTATTGTGAGAAATCTTACTCAGAAGACTCATTGGCGTATCAAAACTCATCTTGCCATCAGCCACTTAGATGTCAACAAGATTAATGTGAGTCAATATTAGTTTATCTTTGGCACTTGTCTACCTTAGGTTCTTTTCATTGTATGTTGTCTAATAAGAGCTTGGTCTCCATGTCCAGTATATTGTAGCTGATATGCGGAAAGTTTTGTCCAAGAATCCTCAAGTTGAACAGCAAAGGTTACACCGTAGAATCTTCTTGGACAACATCAATCCTGAAAACCAGGCTCTTATGGTATGTCTTGAGGGAATTTTTTATTTTTTATTTTTTGGAATAGTAACAAATTCTTCATAATGTTCACTTTCATCGATCATTACTACCACAAGTGAGTCTGACGAGTAAGATCCCACATTGGTTGGAGAGGGAAATGAAACATTCTTTATGAGGATGTGGAGACCTCTCCCTAGTAGATGTATTTTAAAACCCTAAGGGGAAACTTGGAAGGGAAAGTCCAAAGAGGACAATATATGCTAGTAGTGGGCTTGGACGGTTACAAATGGTATCAAAGCCAGACACCGGGTAGTGTGTCAGCGAGGACGTTGGACCCCCAAGGAGGGTGGATTGTGAGATCCCAAGGAGGGTGGATTGTAAGACGGTTACAATATCTGCTAGCGGTAGGCTTGGACTAACCAATTTCATTTTGTTCCTGCAGATTATGGTTTCTTGCTTTGTGAAAACTTCTCGTTTTGAAGAGTACTTGTGCGTAAAGGTACAACCGTTTTTTTGGTGTTTTTAAACTATATAGTTAATTTTGGCTAGCAGTACATTTCAGATACCTTCAATATCAAGCATCTGAACTTTCAGCTGCCATTGATGTGCAGGAGGCAATTCTCTTGGACCTTCTCAGGGTTATCAGCCACCATAGGGCCCGGCTTGCCACTCCCATACGCACTGTTCAGAAAATATATGGTGAGGCTGACTTGGAGAATGTACCATTTTCAGAGACCATGTATTCTCGTACAGGGGCTACTAACCGCCCTCTGCTTCTTATTGAGCCATCTTATAAAGTCAATGGTGACGATAAAGCCAAAGTCTCTGGACGTCCCGCTCGCTCGTCAAGCGAAGAAAAAGATGCCAAACAAGAGGCAGTCTCAACATCAGGAACGAAAGCCCCCGACACATCAGGAACAGCGCCTAAGCCTTCAACTGGACTGGTATCCAACACACAGACCCAGAATCCAACCAGTACTCCAGAACAAAGCAGCATTGAGAAGCCAGTAACAAGCAATGAGGTAAAAGGAGAAAAGAAAGAGCTCTCAGGATTGAACGCTAAGGATAATACGCCACGAGGGACTCCTCCCAAATGGTCGCCCTCAGCTGCCGGTCCGAGTAGCGAGAAAGCTGATATATCTTCCTCAAGCGTGCAGAATAAGCAAGATGGCGAGAAGACCCCTGTGGGCAGACCTCCATTGGAGGAGAACATTGTCCTGGGAGTTGCCTTGGAAGGCTCCAAAAGAACTCTTCCAATAGAGGAAGATCTGAATCCATCTCCCTTTCACTCTCCAGCTGATACAAAAGAAATTTCGACACAGAGGAATGGGAGTGAGTTTGGTCCAAAGAGCAAGGATATGAAAGATGGGCAGATGCCTGCAGTTCCAGGTGGTACAAAAAGTGATTGATGTGTAGGCACCACGCACACCAGGGTTGGCTTCTCCCACTTGGTCTCCTCATTTTTGAAGCGATGCGAATATGAAAATGCTGAGCTAAATTTTTAAGCAAGCATTTTTGCAGGTTCGCTGGTGTAAAAAAAAAAAAAAAAAAAAAAAAAAAAAAAAATTGTATCTTGATCCAAAGGCACATTGGCCTATGAAAGTCTACACTACGCTGACTTTCTCAAAAAAGGAAAAGGGGAGAAAAAATTACACAAGTACAATTATTTTAACCATTTCGTACCTTCATAATCTTATTGTTGTCGATCAATTTTAGACTTTTAAAGTAATGATATAGTTTGTACGTAGGAAACCGTTCTTTTTTACAGGTTTTTTTACCTTATATTATGAGAAGAAAAATAATTCATACTAAAGTTGAGCGACTAAATTATCACAAACTTACGTAAACAAAAACTAAATCATAGAATATTCAAATTTAGAAAATAAATTGTTACTTTAACGGGGAATATGAATCTTTGGAGTACGAGTTTTTAACGTTTTTTAATTGATAGAATATTGATATCGTATCGTACAAAAACGTTATTTTAACACAATTGATATTATCAACTTTTAGATAACTATGACCGTTCAACGAACCTTTATAATAAATTAACTTGTCTATGTTCATTCATGTTCAACAAATATTTAAATACGGGTCTTAAGAGGACAAATACTTGAATACGACTCCTAAAAGGTCAAATAGATCAAATTGGACAAACAAACAAAATTCTATTGTAGCTAAGTCCAAAGTCAATTAGATCAAATTATAATTTTTAACACCAAAAATATCAATGATAGTTACTACAATCGCTATTGACAATATGCGTTGAGTTTAGGAAGGAGCTTGCAGCTGTAGAGCAAATAGTTACACAAAACTTTGATTCTTCCAATAAAAAATAAAAATAAAAATAAAATAAAATGGCAAAATTAGAGGAAAAGAAGAGAAAAGAACAGTGTGATGTTGGTGATGGCGAGGAATTAAAACTAATCCTTGATATAACTAGCATGGGTTACATCAACGTTACCCAAATGAATTATCTATCGGTACTAATTAAGCAGATATGGAGCCATTACACTATTGACAGCATGGCAAGCCAAACCCTACTGACATGATCATTTACAAATATGTCGAAAAAGAACACGCCAACCTTCCATCTTATAAGTCTGCATCCTCTAGCAGAACGTCTCCGAGACCGTTGCTTGCTTCTTCGGGGTATGGCAAATGCCTCGATTTCTTGGCTGGAGGTTGCTCGTGTAAGTCGACCTCAGTAACCGAAGCAACCAACACTGCATCATCATGTTCGATGTCTGTTTTGGTTGTTATATCCTCATCTAGACACGGTGATGCAACGACAGTTTCTTTACAATGAGGATCAGAACCATCATTTTCCATGTCTTCACAAGTATCATTAGTATCTTTAGAAACGACAATGGTGTCGGTATCTTGCGTCGTGGTAGCAGCAGAAGTGGGGCATTCTGCTATAGGTTCCAGGTTCTCAATTGGTAAGGGCCTTTTTCTGTTAATTTCTTCTTTGTTACCAGGGCTTGGTTCCCTAACATCGCAACTTTCAATGATTCCCACATCTTCTAAGACATCTGAGTGACTTGAGGGGGATGAGGCAATGCCACTACCATGCTCTGGTTGAATAGACATGCACAAGTCAAAAGCAGTCTCGGATTCTAGGCCTCTTGACGAACCCGGAAAACGACAAGCTTGAGATGTCATTGCATCAACTGGCTGCAAACCATCCTGTTCTGAAGGCAAGTACATGAAACGGTCTCCAGTTTCCGTATCTGCATCTTCCTATTAATGAGAAAATTTTATAGCATCAGAGCTGTAGGCATACTAACAATTGTTCTCTACAGGAACAGGTATCATCTAGAACTAACGAACTGGAATTGCATGAAGATAGCAAGGAAATATTTTGTCCATTTTTCATCATGTTTCTTAACGTTGGCACAAGTATGAACCATTATTACCAATCATAATTGAAATATATATATATACACATTTGCCTAAGTGACGATACACAAAATATAAAAAACTGTGTAAGAGATTGCATCAATTTGCTTCTTTTATTGTTGGGCAAAAGATAATAAGAGAAACTAAAACATACCTCCAACACGGTAACATTTGTATCAAAATACGATGATGTCTGGGCAAAAGATTGATAGTGTCCAAGTAATGATCCATTCGATGTGCCTGGTTCAAATAGTTCTCTGACAACCAAGCCAGAACCGTCCATAAAGTGGTTATGTCTACTCGAAGATTCAGATAACAGAGTAATTTCAATCCCATCAGCAGCTTGTGAGCTTGACAAATTGTGATTGAATGTCTCTGCCAGTCTTCCACTTTCCGGAACAAGCTCCACACCAGCTTCATCCTCATTGTTTGATGGAAATTTAGAAAGGAGATCATCACTGCAAGCAGTGGTGGACATTTGTCGAGATCGTTTTTCAAGGATTTCAAAAATTAATCTCTGTATTAAAGTTCGCTTGAGGTAAGCCTCAGCAGGTGGGAACCAATCCACATTAAGCTGGGGAGATTCATTGAAAAAAAACAATCAAATTATTAACGTCTAATTCAGAAGATAAAAGTAAATCCAAGGAAGATTAGTTCATATCTCTCTTTTTTATAACAGTTCATTTTTGTGAACTCAGAAACTTTGATGGAACACACACACACACAACGCAGAAAAAATCTAAAAGCTATATTATCTTTCTAACATTTTCTTAATAATAATAAACGTTCAAATTTATCCCAGTCCCAAAGTTGTGTCACGTGTCAATCATCCTATTGAGTATGAGTCATGTGAGAATTCCATGTCGAGGTGATCTAAGAATGTCATCAATGCTTTCAATTGTGAAGGTGAGATCAGAAATGGCACCCTACAAGGCTTTCACACCGCATGTCCAATTAACAAAACAGAAGGATGAAGAGTTAAAAGTTCATAATGTGGAAAAAGCTTCGAGACTAATCTGGAAAGGGATTTCATCGAGACGAAATGAAATGCGACGGCATCAATAAAAAGATAATAAAGGAATTAGAACTAAGGATTTATAAATTAGACATAAGCCATAAGAATAATAAACCCAATCTCGTGCATCTTTTCCGCAACTCACACAATTGTTTGAAAAAAAAAAACAAATTTATTAAGTCGAGGTGGTTAACTAGAAATTTTCTTATATCTAAGATATATTAGTTAAAATTTCCAAATAAGGGTTCAAAGCGGACAACTTACAAATTTTGAAAGCTTGGAGATTTTGAACGGACTGAAATCAAGAGGAGCTTCTGCCAAAAAGAGTTCTAGATAGTGGAGCAAAAATAATCCGCAATCAAATGAATTTTCCTGCTGTGGAAGCTGACATGAAACATGGATGTGTAAGATAACCCCCGAAAAAAGAAAGATAAAGAGAAATAAACGTAGGACCATATTACCAAACATCATGTGTTACAATAAAGGAACCAGATGCATGAGTATCCTAAAACCGAAAGTTCTTGAATATCAATATAATGAAGTTCACAGCCAGAAGTACCTCGAGTGGGAGAAACCGAAGGTTCTTAAACTTTGATGAAATATCTTCAGATGCATCCTTGTTTCTTTCGTTCCATTCTTCCAGCAAATAACTGTCATATATTGCATCACGAGGTCCCAGTGATTAAGAAGGAACTTGCAAAAGAAAAAAAAAATTGAAACTATAAACGCAGAAATGATGGAATTGGCTTGCTTTATAACCAATAATGAAAACAAAATGCAAAAGCCAAAAAGTAGTAAGAACGAACAAACAGCGTCAGCAAATTACTAAAAACCCTTTTTTTATAAGACGGCAAACTACCTTCATTTTAAAAAGGACAGAATACCAACTAAAAGAACTGTGGTGTTTGCTCGCAGATGGAAGATACCTAAAAATTAACACATTGAATAATCCTTTTTTCTGGGCTCTCCATCGCAAGATTAACACATTGAACAGAGAATGAAAGTTGAACCTATCGATAGCCTCAATTCAAACTTGCAGGTATCAACTCAATGTTGTATTCTTGGTCAAAAAGAGGAAAACATTGTGAATAATCCTTCTTTTTTGATAGGATTATGAAAGATCCTACTTCAAGCTGCTATATCAAATGGTGGCAACCAAAACCCCCGGGAGACATTTTTTGTGAATAAGTTCCTCCAATTGCCATACCAAATGGTAAGTAAGTAAAAAAAATGAAAAATAATAAATAAATAAGTGGAGGAAGAAATAATACAAAAGGAAAAAAGGAAAAAGGAACAAAAAAAAAAAAAAAGAAAGAAAGAAAGGATGCGTTTTAAAATCACTTCCATAGCAACTTTTTTGTTGCCTGGAAAAAGAGTTTTCCGAGGCAATAAGTAAAATCTCCACCCCCAAACAAACTCATGTCATTTCCCATCTCAAATCTCATCCCAACCTTTAGAAACAAACGCCCCCTATATATATACACACATTACTCTAGCAATAAAAAAAAATTATAAAAATAAAAAGCAACAAAAAAATTACTTAACAGAGAGATTAAAAGAGGTTGGTTGCAATATGCAAATGAAGGCAATACTGAAAACTCTTCTGAAGTCTTCATCAAACTTCTCAACATGGAACAGACTAATTCTATGTCAGTAAATAAAAATAAGATGCAATGTCAAACTAACCATGACATGGAAGATTAACCTTTGTTCGGATATCTAAGATCCACTGTTCGAACCAATAACTTGAACATGATAAAAGCTATAAAAACAAAGGAATACCTTTGAATGAGATTTTTAAGGCCTGCGTGACTTCCCTTAATAGAATCCATATGCAATATACACGGTACTTTTGTTGACTTCATCAGGTTTTCATCTGTGACAAGACAGAAGTTAAGACTGGTGGGAGACACAAATTGACCCAATGAGTGAAGAACTTACCGCTATATCTAGCCACTTCACCAGGATGGCATATGACCATTAAGCTCCAATGAAGGCTGTTATAACAAACATATAAAGTTGAAAAGGATACCCACTTCCGATGCTGTTTAGCTTATCACACAAAAGAATCTTTCCTTCAAGAGAAAAGGCTTACTTGAAGTTTATAGGAATGAAGATATAATCCTTGTCAAATAAATTCACTTTCCGAGTCCATTTTCGAACACGAAGAAAAGCAGCTTTGCCATCAGAAGCACTTGAGGGATCTTTATCAAGGTCAGCTAGCTTCCTAAAGAAAAAGCTATTGAAGAAGTGAAATCTATGCTTCTCCTTAGGGTCTATCTGGCTCTTCAAATACCTGTCAATCAATTCTATTTAGAAAGGTGGTCATTCAATATTTGCAATAAAAGTTTGTTAATAAGAAAACCAGTCATCCAAGCAAGGAAATGGAGAAAATAAAAGAACTGTGGATCAGAACTTCTTTAAATGAGAAACTGAAAATTCCTACATCACTAGGAAAATATACAGGGGGAAAACCTCCTGGCAGTAATGGTATTCAATCATGCATTACAAGCAATCACTAAATAATTTGACTCACTGGATGTAAAAGTCAATGATTGTATCATTGACAAATGTCTCTGGTTGCAACAAGTCAACATCCCTCTTACTAATGGAAACGGCATCTGGATCTCCTTTGGGATAGACAACTTCTTCAAAATGCTCATCAAAGCTGGACACAGATTCATACTCATTGAAAAAGGTGGCCACCGCCAATCTCAAAAAGTATTAACGATAATGTACTCGAGTTCATGTATTGACCATATAACAATTGAAAACTGAAGTTGAAAGAAGAATGATCTGCATGCATGACATTTTGAATATCATAGCATGGTAAACATGAATCTTTTACTCAAAATTAAAAGAAATATATATAGTTTTTAAGAAGCAGTTAGAAATGAATTTCAAACAAACTAGTTTACAAAACATGAAATAAGCTTTAAAAGGAAAAAAAAAAGTAGAAAATTCCACTCACTTGGGGAAATATTGTCTTGGTCCACCCAAATCATCATCGCCCACACTACAAGACATAATAGAGGTAACCAATAATTCTATGAACAAGGGAGACCAATATACGTAAAAGGAATCAAAACAAAGTTTATTCGAGAATGCAACCAGTGTGTGCGTGTGACTTGGGAGACATTTTACACATGACTGTGTTAACCATGAAATGAAGAATGTAACCCCCGATAATTCTTTAAGATATGCCACATAAACTGACATCTTGAAGTGTTGCTAGGTTTATAACTCTGTTTTTAAAAAAATACATGTGATAAAAGCTATAATGATAAGAACACACAGATAACTTACTCAAGAGACATATTCCAAATAGCCATGTATCTGGAATCCAAAGATCTGATTTTTTGTTGTTTCTCAGACCAGCAAGGATCAACTAGAACAATCTTCACTTCCTTAAGGCCTTAAGCAAGTTCATAAATATGAATTAGAAAAACTAACAACAAGAAAGATTTCTATCATAACATTATTGAGAACACTGATGAAATGACACAAGAAAAAGGCAATGAGGATGTCGAGAAGAACGTAGATGTTAGGCCATAAGTTATGTCGTGAAGTTACTAATAATCTTAGCCATGTCAACATAATTGAAATTAAAATTTAAGAAAAAAAAACTTAAACTGAACCTGGCTTCTCTAATGAGCTGTCAAAGTAGCAAAGATATACATTGAAATACTATCAAATGTTTATGCTACTGAAATCTAATTCCAAAAAAAACTCAAAATAGACTTGTAGAAGTCCACTGACCAGAAGTGTCACATCCATTATCACGTTGACCAACATCCTTTGATATAGTATGGAGCTTAATCGTCACAAATTCAACCTGTAGCCAAATGAAAAACTGGCAATTCACAAAAAAATAGAACTCAAGTATCATAAAATTTAGTTTCTAAAGAAAAGATATAAGAACTCACCCTTTGAAACCAATGACACTCAATATTAATGAGATCATCAACTCCCCATTCAAGGTTAAGGAACTCGTTGCTTCCATAATCAGAAAAACCATTAATTTTGACGCCATTATGTGAAAAGGTTAACTGCGAACTGGTACAGTAAGAATCTCCATATATAATATAATCGGGACATAGAACAACCTCTTGGTTAAGATCATCCTATAAAAGTAACAGAGAAAAGCTTCAGTACCCAAATGCCTACATTCTGGACAATGAATTTTGATAAGTTGAATCTGCCTACAGAAAATAATCATTAAAAAAAAGACAAAAAACATATTCCACTTAAGTAATCAACTATACATCCGAAGTTGTAAGCAATTCAATTACTAAAAGAAACAGAGAGAAAGAAAGAGAAGCTCCTCAAATGAAATCAGACACCTTAGAATTATAATTACAAAAATAACTTGATAAAACACTACAGCATCCAAGAAGGTGCCTCATATTTCACGATTTCAATTCTTTCTTCCTAACCAGTGTTTTTCTCTTCAAACACTCTTCAAGAATAAGAGGAAACTATAGTCTCCTTCAAGATCAAAAACCCTTGACAAGGACCAATCATGTAGAATTCATAATATGTATGAACAACATGAACATCCGGACAGCCTATACTTCTTGATAAAAGTAGTTAAGACTTCAAAAGTCCTGGAGGAGATTAAACGAAAAATGAAAATTGGAAATAAATTTCAGGAAAATTTTAAGACATAAGTGTGTGGCCCTTTTCTTTTTCTGTTTAAATGATCACAAGGAAGAAACTTACCATTTCATTGTCAGATGAGCACTTATCTGAAGACTTCCCATTCGGCGAAACTGAAATTGTCCAAATAATAATAGTCAGGCATAGAACTTGGGTAAGTTATTAGTTATAGTGTGCGTGTGTGTGTGTGTCCCCTGATCTTCCTTATTGATGCAATTGTTCTCCTCAGGAAAAGAACCAAAAGAATGTTGAAGTGGACACAGTGTACAGAACATACCACTATCCTCTACAAGCTCCGAAGGAGAGCTCATTGGAGAACTCCCATTCATGCTTCCATTAGGATATGAAAGTGCATCCACTTGCTCCCTCTGTACATTGAAAAAGAGAATGTTAATCAAACATGACCAATACTCCTATATATCTCAACAGAAAGTAATGTTCAGAAAGCAATAAGTTAGGGTACTTTAGCGGCAAACTCAGGAAGAGAGCAATTTAACCCCAGGATAGAACTTTGAGAGCTAGATCCAACTTTTCCAAGCTCAGAGCCAAAGCATCCTGTCACGTGATTATTTACTTGCACAAACATGTCTTGTGAATGAGTATTCCATTCTGATTCTGTATTGACATCCAATTGATATTTCTCTTCTTCCATGATCAATTGCTCTTTAGATATGCCCGGGGGGATATGTGAAATACCATTGTCACAACCACGATTACATTCATCCAAGTCAACATCCATATGTGGATTTTCAACCTCTTTCCCTTCAACACATTGGACACTGTTAATTAATCTTCATTAATTATTAAAATGGATGGCCATCAACAAAGAAACTAATTTTGATAATGATAGCAAGAAGAAACTTGCAGCAGCATTGTTGAACGGACATTCACTAAAGAAAGGGCACAAAAAGAAAGCAATTCTGAAATGGTAACTTGGACAAGGACAAGCCATATTGAGAATTAAATAAAAAGCACAACAATAGAGATGAACATCACGGTAGTTAATGTTTGTTTCCAGCTATAAGAGTACAAGACGAATGATATCATCAAACGTGTGCGGAAAAAAGTTACCATAGCAATTTTCACTAATTTATGATACCAGAAGTAAAGAAATTTGTGCTCCATAAGGAAAGATGAAAAATAAATCATTCCAGAAATCCTCTTTCAAACGTAAATCTCCAGAGTTATCAGATCACATATTCACTTTAATTCCCCATTGGAAGTAAATAATTTTCAGCAATCGGCGATATGCTACAAGACGCCAGAAATAACAATTCAACTCATTGAGATGCCATTCAACATATTTCAAATTCGTCTGTATTTCACCGTAAATCTACAAGAAATAGACGTTTAGCAATCTACAGACTACTCCACGATCTACCAAATGAAAAAGGCTAACAGAACCAATATAGTGATCAACCTTCTCTGAGATATTCAGTTTACAATCAAAATTAAAGACTCTTATCCATCCATCCATCCATCCATCTCCAACTAGTGTTTGCAGACAAATAAATAAATAAAACGAAAAGTAGTACCAGTCCAGGAATACCTACCTAATTCAAGACATCCATACTTCAAAACAGAGTTAGTTTCGAGATTAGGGTTTTTGAATTTGCTGAGACACTTCTCGGAGATCAATTCAGGAAGCTCGTCTTCTTCGGTGAAATCGAAGACTTCGAGGCCTTTGACAGAGGCGTCGTTCATGGCGAGATGAGAGCGGATCACTGAGAGATCAAACGATCCCAAGAAATCAAACTGCCATCGTAATCACAGGAGGACGAAGTAAAGCTCTGGTAAACGAAGATCGTGTCAAAGCTCTGGGCCACTTGGTTGCTGAGAATGGAGCCAATTAGGGCTGTTTGGCGCGGAATCAGTAGCCCTCCGGTTCCTAAAAACCCGTGTTCAACGTACTGGGTTGGCTCACCAGCATTGAACTCACTCCAGCGTCAGATTTCAGTTAATTTATATTTTAATTTTTTTTTTATTTTTAAGCTATTTTCTTTAATATTCAATTTTATAACCTGATAATTTATTTATTTTTAATTACATCTAAATAATTAAACCAATTTTAAGTTACTAATTTGAATTATATTTATATTAAATTATAAAATATTTCAATTTATTCTATACGACACATTTGAAAGCCCACTGCTAGCTGATACTGTCTGTTTTAGATTGTTGCGTATCATTGTCAACCTCGTAGTTTAAAAATACGCCTACTAAAGAGAGGTTTCCACATCTAAGAAATGTTTCGTTCCCCTCTCCAACCGATGTGAGACCTCACAATCCACCTTACTGGAGGTCAGCATCCTCGCTAGCACACCGCTCGGTGTCTAGCTCTGATACCATTTGCAAACGTCCAAACTCATTGCTAATACATTATTCGTTTTAATTTGTTACGTATCATCGTCAGCTTCACAACTTTTAAACGCGCCTATTAGAAAGAGATTTACACACATACTTGATCTCACAAGAGAACTTGTAATTTAACCTAACAGTAAAAAAAAATTAATATCTAAACATCTCTATTTTCTCAAAAATATAAAGTTAAAATTTCACTATTTTTAACCGCACAGGGTAAAAATATGGAGGTGAAAGATTCCCAAATAACAAAAAAATAAAATAAAATAACTAAATATTAAAATTCGCCATTTATATTAATAAAGTTTTAAATTCCAACAATTAATTTTAATGATTCTCTGCCTTTTCTCATCTCAGCTTAGTTTTGTCCTCAATTTGGGCATGCAAGCCTGCAACAAATAATACGCAAATAAATTAATTAATCATTTTATTTACTATAAATAATTTAAAAAATCTCTAAAATTGTAGTTTTAATTAATTTCGGTTATTATGCTTTCAAACATTATATTATTCAACAAATAAATTTATAATATAAGATTGCTCCTTCATGTATATCATATAAATATGGTACCTGCATCAACTAAATATATAGTTAAATTGAATTAATAAATGGAAATAATAATCACAATCATAAATTAACTACCATTTGTAACCTAAATTACAATAAATAAATAAATAAATAAATATATATATATATACTGAACCTTTATTTAATAAATAAATATATTTATTATGATAAGCCTTTTAAATAATTATTTTTAGAGAAAAAATGGTTAAATTTGAATGAAAAAATATAATTATTTTAAACTTAATCCAAACCAGCGTCTTAATTACCACCAGGTCGTTTTAGATCAGTATTACACTGATTATTTTTTAAAAATAATAATAAACCGGAAAAAAGTATCTGTCGAAACCCAATTTCTAAAGAAAATAATAATAATAATAATAATAATTTACAATGATGAGAAATGACATAGGTAGCAGATATGGGGACGAAGAAGATTTTTAGATCACAGCCTCACCCTATGGGCTGTTGAATGAAAGTCATACCTCCACTAATTTAGAGAATAATCATAGATTTATAATCAAATAATACTCTCATCATTGTTATAAAGCCTTTTGACACAGCTCAAAGTAAGGTTACAACAGCTTATGTTTAAAATAGATAATATTATTATAATATTTTTTTAATATAAAATTGAAATATTTTTATAATTTGAGAAAAATAAAGAAGTATAAATAATAATTATTATATTGCAAAAGAAAGTACTCACCCTAGTTTGAGAGAGGTATCGGAGCTGTCGTCGTCGGCGAGAGGGCCGCTGTTGCAGCTGTACACATTTGCGGCGGAGTCCGACGAAACTCCTTCTTCCGGCACCGGAACGTCGGAAACTACCAGCAGTGGCCTTCTTTGATTCGACAACCTTATCATCTGCAAATTTTCATTAATTTAATTCCAAAAATAAAATTCCTTTCTTCAATAAATAAATAGAATTTTATTACCTGCCGATTCAGCGTCCTGTTCTCTTCCATCAATCTGGCTCCCTGTATAAATTAATGACGTGGAATAAGTCTATTATTAAAAAAAAATCAATTAATTAGGATTAAATGCGTAATTTTAAAATTTAAATAACTAAAATAATATAATTTAGCCTAAAAAAATGGAATTAATTACCTTAAGCTCAAGCGCATTAATTTCATTCATAATCTTCCTTTCCTACATAAATATAAAATATCTGTAAATTTTGTAAACATAATTATTTTTATTATTAATATTAATATTATTATTATTTGAAATAAATTAAAATTAAAAACCTTGGTTTGAATAACACGAGCGAGGCCTACTTCAAGCACTCCTTCCAATTGCTTCAAATCTTCTAAATTCAATCCTTGAAGATCCTCTCCTCTCATCTGCCTAATATTAATTTTTAAAATTAACATATATTATTAATTAATCAAAATAATAATTAAAATTGCAAAAATAAAAAATAAAAGTACCTCAGTCGATGGCTCATGTCTGCAGCTTCCTTGGTCAACCGAGCGTGGCTGCTATTCTCGAGCTACACTTAAAATACTTTAATTCAATGAACTCGAGCTTTAAATGTATTATATAATATATATTTTTAATTAAAAAGTCTAATAATATATGTTAATTTAAAATTTATAAATTTATTAAATTCAAACTCTCATATTATATAATATAAATTTTTAATTAAAAGGTCTAATAATATACATTAATTTAAAATTTATAAATTTATTAAAATACCATATTTAATAATTGAACTCGAGCTTTACACATATTATATAATATATATTTTTAATTACAAGGTCTAATAATATACGTTAATTTAGAATTTATAAATTTATTAAATACAAGATTTAATAATTTGCATCTAATAAACCCGTTAAATTAAAAGAATTTTAGGGGTGAAATTGAAAATTTTCAAAATTTGAGGGACTTGTTGGATAAATTTAAAAGATTACCTGTAGGTCAAGGGAGGGATCTTCCAACTCTCCAAGGTTAGTGGAGTGCAAATTGTATCTTGTAATAACATCCTTAACGCTGCATTATATGTAAATAAATAAAATTAATAATAATAATAATAACAATAATAATGAACTTAGATTAATATTTGTCACACTCTAACAAAATAATGGTATTTAATCATTTTAAAATCTAAAACCATGCTTAATTCATAATTAACTTCTCCGCTTTAACCATAATCTCATGTTTAATAATTACCACGGATTAAAAAATTTGAGGGGTTAAGTTGGTAACTAAATAATTATAATAGAATTCACCACTTAGCTCTTTAGTTGTAAAATTATTTTTTTAATTATTTAAAATAATACTATTTATCAAAAACTAATAACTTAAAATTTGTAAAATTTAAATATTTATAGTCCACCTCTCCTAATTTAAGGAATAATCATGGTTTATAATAAAAAAAATACTATCTCCATTGATACGAAGTTTTTTGGGGGAAGGATAAAAGTCCCATATCGACTAATTTAGGGAACGTGGGCTTATAATCAAGGAATACTCTCTCCATTGGTATGAGGCCTTATGGGAACCCTCAAAATGAACAATATCACCTCATTGTGGAAAGTCGTGTTAATGTAACATGGTATCAGAGTCATGTCCTAAACTTAGCCACCTCATCTAATGCAGAGTTATACCCTAAACTTAGCATTTTCTCAATTTATTTAGGTTGAAATGATCATAGATTTATAATCAAAGAATACTTTCTCCATTCGTATGAGGCATTTTGGGAAGTCCAAAGTGAAGCCAGGAGAGCTCAAAGTGGACAATATCATACCATTGTGGAGAGTCGTGTGCGTCTAACAATTTCAATTTCAATTAAGTTTCATTCAAAATTATTAAGGATTTTTTTTTTTTTTTTTTTTTAGCATTTCTGGTAAAAATACAAAAGTTGAAGGATCGCTGATTATTACCTGGAACTGGAAAACTCGAAGAGCTTTCCGGTAGCGGAGAAGACGAGCAGCGCCACCTCGGCGTCGCAGAGCACCGACAACTCCTCCGCCTTCTTGAAAAGCCCTCGCCGTCGCTTCGAAAACGTCACTTGCCTCGCCGTTAAGTTGCTGATCTTCTTAATCTTGATCTTCTCCCTCGCCATAGAATCTCCAGTGGCAAAATTGTAAAATCGCAAAAAAAAACCCTAAATAATTCAGATACGAAACTGAATTTCCTTCACTAAAATAAACAAAATAAATAAATAAATAAATAAAAATGAAATTCCGACCAGTTTCGATTTCTCGTACCTTTGATTCGAACACTACAAGAACACGACCGGGGATAGATGAAGCTTAGACTGGACGTATTCTATTCAAGGAAAGGATACATTCCCATTTATAGCCAAACAGTCGTCAATTCTTTTTAACTTTTTACCTGAGTTTCAGTCAAAACCTTATCTTTACTATTTATCGAAGTAAAAAAAGAAACGGTAAGTTTTCAAATATAATTAAAATTATTTATTTTGAGGCAAACGAATAATAACTATATGTCCTAGGTGGCGTGGAAACGGGAGCTTTCCGTACAACCCCGGCCATTCTCCCGGTTGTCAGTTCAGAGTCTTTACCTGCCCGCTGCCCTACTCTACCTTGTACTACTTTTTTATCAGTTTGTGTAATAAATTTTATATCGTGCGATAATTTAATAATTTCCCCAACTGAATCTCATAAATTATCGTCCTTTCTCGCGTACTTTATTCCTATTTTTTATTATTTTTTTTTTTTCATATCGTGTGGACGGGAAATTGCCGGTACGATTCTTTAACGGCGTGTATAGTTCGCGTCCACTTGTTTGATTCTTGTTCTTAAAGCTGTGTTGTTGCACGTGCCCTTATCCAACTAGTTTTGCGCGTGGGGCCCGTGGGCTCGATGGAATTATTCGAAAATAAATAAATATTTTCAGGAATTAAGATTTATAATTTTTAGTAATTAAATTCATTTTTTAGAGATTTAATTTAATATAATTATAACGTTTTTTTTATATAAATGAGGTAAATTGATTCATGTATATATAAAAAAATTAAGATTTTAAATCTATGTTTTTTCCGGGAAGGCTTTCTTTGAGCTTTCCCTTTCGAACTTCCTCTGAAGGCTTTAAAATGCGTTTGCTAGCGGAAGGTTTCCACACCCTTTTATAAATGGTGGTTTGTTCTCTTCCCCAACTAATGTGGGACATCACAATCTATCTCCTTTGTGGCCAGCATCCTCGCTGGCACTCTTTCCTTCCTCTAATTGACGTGGGACAACCCCCAAATCTATCCCTTTGGGGCCCAGCGTCCTTATTGGCACACCACCTTGTGTCTACCCTTTTTCGAAGAACTGCGAGAAGGCTGACACATCGTCCGATGTGTGGCTTTGATACCATTTATAACAGCTCAGATTCACTCCTAACAAATATTGTCCTTTTTGGGCTTTCCCTTTCGGTTCCCCTAAACGCTTTAAAAGACGTCTGCTAGGGGAAGGTTACATTGTCCGATGTCTGGCTCTGATACTATTTGTAACGGCTCAGATCCACCGCTAGCAGATATTGTCCTCTTTGGGCTTTCCCTTTTGGTTCCCCTAAACGCTTTAAAAGACATATGGGGAGGTTTCCACACCCTTTTTATAAATAGTGGTTTGTTCTCTTCCCCAACCAACGTGGGACATCACAATCCACCCCCCTTTGGGGCCCAACGTCCTCGCTCGCACTCTTTCCTTCCTTTAATCGATGTGGGACCGCCTCCAAATCCACCCCCCTTTGGAGCCCAACGTCCTACTGGCACACCGCCTCGTGTCTACCCCCTTCGGAGAACAGCGAGAAGGCCGACACATCGTCCGATGTTTGGCTCTAATACCATTTGTAACGCCCCAAATTCACCGCTAGTAGATATTGTCCTCTTTGGGCTTTCCCTTTCGGGCTTCCCCTCAAGGCTTTAAAACGCGTCTGTTAGGGAAAGGTTTCCACACCCTTATAAACGGTGGTTAGTTCTCCTTTCAACTAACGTGAGAAATCACATATATAGAATAAAATATTTTTTTTTAAAGGTGCCCAGTTGAATTACATCCAATGTTGGTTGTTGATAAGATATTATAAGGACTCATGATTTTTTTTTTTTTTTTTCTGGTGCCTAAGTTATTAGCTATATTCATTTCGTGTTCTTTTATTTGATAACCGAAAAAATAATGATTTTTTCTTTTTGGTTACATAGTTATAAATTTGAGTGTTTTGTTATTTAATTTCCGCTTCTCAATTATTTTATACTCAATTAATGAGAGTGAGGTGTTCTCATCCGAGCCACATGTAGAATGATTTCTTTATACATAATTGTGAAAACTTAAGTCCATCGTTAGTAGATATTGTTCGCTTTGGCCCATTTCTTATTATCGTCCACGTCTATTATGGAGAGGTTTCCATACCCTTATAAGAAATGTTTCGTCTAATGTGAGATCTCACAGTTACATATGTTAGATGTTCATTGTTAGTGGGCCAGGCCCAACAAGGAGATGGGCCGAAGCTTTCGCCAGTCCATTAACAAAAAGATACGAAATGGGCCGAATGGTATATTGGGCTGAAAAGGGCGACGTCAAAGCCGGCCCATTAAACTTCCACCGAAAATGTCCGGTCATATCCCAGCAGGTTGGGGAGTGGAGAGGGGTAGAAATGTAAAATTAAATAATATTTTTCAGAACATTTTATTAATTTAATAATATTTTAGGCTTAATTTTTAAAAATAAAAAAATAAAATGGTTATCCATTTGATTGACACGTGTGAATGAAGTGAAGCGCTGAATAACTGGAGAGCTTTTGTCCACGCAGCCATAGGTTGAACACAGACGTCTCCTCCCTGTCCTAATTTTCTAATTTTTTTTTTCTATATAAAGTTTAGGTTAAATTATATATTATAAATAATAAAAAAAAAAACAATAAACTTTCTTATTTATTTTTAAAAATATTTTTATAATTTTAAAAGCTTCAATATTATCAATTCCATCTTTTATTAATATTTCATAATTATTTTTACTATTTAATATAAAATTGACATCACGATATCGCGAAATATAGATATTTTTTAAAATTAAATTAAAAATAATGATATTTGATTATCCATCTTAATATTGAGAGATTACAATTATTTTTTTAAAAAAATTTTGTAAAAATAAATTGATTTATTTCTTAAAAAAAATTATGAATTTTCTTGTCGTAACATTCACGTAGCTTGCACAAAATAATATTCCCTCCCACTTAGTTGGACATTTTGTCTTTTGTATTTTATATATATATATATATATATTTGAAATTTATTTAGAAATATCTAAAATTCTAATTTTATAATAATCTAAGTTTTTAAAATATTTTTTAATCAATTTTCTAATAACGATTTTTTAAAAATTAAACTCTAGAAATAATAACATGTTTTTAATAATATAATTTTAAATCTTTGCATGTTTTTTTAAAAATAGATAATAAAATAAGAAAATTTAGAGGCAGAAAATCATGTAATAAAAATTTATAATTTGGTTCTTCTCTCTCTCTCTCTCAATCATGGGATTTTTGGGGATTATCTCATTGAAATGTTAGAAAATTAGGAAAGTGGCCAAACGCAAACACGATATGATCTCTATGTCATCTCCAACGAAGTGGGGATCGATGTGGATAAGCTTGAAACGAGATGTTCATCTTTACAATTTCGCGTGTATAAATGGAACAGAAATTCAGCTGTAAGAAACTTTTCAATACAGTCGATCATTTCAGTTGGGAAAGGCGGGAACCCAAATGGGTCGTTTAATTCGTAAGTTTTCTATACATTGTTCTTCATCTAATTGCTTGATTTCGTGCCTGTGTGCTTGTTGGGTACGTTTCAGATTCAATTTCTTTGTGAAATTATCGTTACTGATAGGTCCAAGAGCTTGCTGGAGTTGGTTATTTTCAGAAATGGCTGCAATTAGACCGACCTTAATCCACAAGAATCCTTTCCTTGTTTCATCATTTTCAGTCGGGACAAACTCTCTTTCTGTCAGTTCTTGTATCTCTCTGTTTTTCCTTTTTATTCTTTGTTAATTCCAGTTTTAAATAGGTTTTTTAATGGACTTCGAATTTGAATCGACAGATGAAGGAAGAAATCGACGAAAATCATCTGGAAGTGACATCTAATCGCAATCACGAGTGGGTTCTTTCTGCTAATTTACTTTATGAATCTGTTAATGGAAACTCCCATGAATTTTCTCTTCTGGTTCTTGATTTTTTTTTCTCTTTATTACAAGGCTGGAGGTCTCAAGAAACTCATTAGGGCTTGCCCAAGAACGATCATCAAGGATGGGAGTGAAAAATGTGGCTCAAGTAAAGGATGCAGATAAGGTGTTTGATGAAATGAAAATGAGATTTCTGAGTTTTAAGAAGCACAAGTACTTGTAAGTAGCAGTCGATACACGATGATGAGCTAATCTTTGGATCTGTTAGGCAAGATAAAACTCAATTTGTGCTTGGTTTTTAATCCAATGATTTCATTGAAACAGGAAAAATTTAGAGCATTTTCAAGCTCTGGCAGAGCTACAAGCCCCTAAGGTAGTTAAGATGATGAACATGTCCCTATGATTTCTCTTTGATTATTGTGTCCTGTTTGTACTATCTCTGCTCATTATCTCGAATATTTCAACACAAGCTCACAAGTAGAACAGTTCATGGTGATTTCTTGTGTCGATTCTAGAGTATGCCCATCTAACATTCTTGGATTTCAACCCGGAGAAGCTTTCACCGTTCGCAACGTAGCGAACATCGTTCCGTCATGGGAGGTATATGTATAGTCTAGTGGGAATGTCTTGTATTATCTAAGTCAGACAAGCAAAGAACTAACTTCAAGTTCTTATGCAGAATGGACCAACTGAAACCAATGCAGCCCTTGAATTTGCAGTAAATACACTTAAAGTGGGTTGTTTTCCGTTCTTCATCCAGTTGAATTTGATCTTTATAATCTCTAGACTTCATATTAAGAGAGCTATTTGTATACTGAAGGTTGAGAACATTTTAGTCATTGGCCACAGTAGCTGTGCTGGAATTCAGAGCCTTATGAGCATGGAAGATGATGCTACCGACTCAAGGTTTCACTTTCTCAAACTCCATCGTGTCTTCTTAATCTGTTTTTCTCGGTTGTGCTTGTTTTCGATCTATAATTTATAGCTTATTCTGCTATGGTAGCTTTGTTCATAAATGGATGGTGAATGCAAAAGTTGCTAAATTAAGAGCAAAAGCTGCTGCTGCACATCTTAATTTTGACCAGCAATGTAAACATTGTGAGAAGGTATTGATCTTCTTGTTGCATGAACTTTTAGATTAGAATCCATTTCTTTATTAGTTCGTATTCATAATTCCTTACTCTGTTACCCCGTTGCGTTAGCCCACAAGCTAAGACTCTATGACTGATGATGCTATATGCTCGGGCCATGGTAAAAGGCTCGAAGGGAATGAGTTCATGTCATGATAACTACTTGCTTAGAATGTTATTCTACGAGTTTCCTCATCAAGCGAGTGTAGTGGGGTTGATATGGTATTTAGTGCAAATAGTCGAGGTGCACACAAGTTAACTCAAAAGATTACCAATCTCGTTCCCCTTTTGCCACCGAAGAATCAATTTCCTTATTAGTTCGTATGCATAATTCTTTACTCTGTTACCCTCTTGCGTTAGTCCAAAAGATTTATATTGATTTTGACAAGCTAAGACTATATGCTTGATGTTATATTCTCGGGCCATAGTAAAAGGCTCGAAGGCAATGAGTTCATGTCATGAAGACTCGTTGCCTAGAATATTATTCTACGAGTTTCCTCGGAAAGTGAGCATAGTGGGGTTGATCCGTTATCTGGTGCAAATAGTCGAGGTGCATACAAGTTAACTCAAAAGATTACTAATCTCGGTTCCCATTTTGCCACTAAGAATCAATCAACTTTTATATTAGAATCCATTTCTTTATTAGTTCGTATGCATAATTCCTTACTCTATTATCCTGTTGAGTTAGTCCAAAAGCTTTATATTTCTTTCAACAAGCTAAGTCTACATGACCGATGCTATATTCTCGAGTCATAGTAAAAGGCTCAAAGGGAATGAGTTCATGTCATGATGACTCATCGCCTAGAATATTATTCTACGAGTTTCCTCAGCAAGCGAGTGTAGTGGGGTTGATCTGTTATTCGGTGCAAATAGTCGAAGTGCACACAAGTTACCTCAAAAGATTACTTATCTCAACGGTTTCCCTTTTTGCCACCAGGAATCGATCAACCTTTCATTGAAGAACTTAATGACGTATCCATGGATCGAAGAGCGGTTAAAACAGGAATCGCTTGCTGTTCATGGAGGATACTATGATTTCTTGAGTTGTACATTTGAGAAGTGGACTCTTGATTACAAGAACACCTGCAAAGCTGCTGGTGATGATGATCATGGATTTCAGATCAAAAATCAATCAGTATGGTGTTGATATCATCTTTGTAAAGTTCAAAAGTCGCTGCTATATTTGTAAATGGTGACAAATATTTTTACCAATAATTATAAACACTCTTTACGTAATTAATAATAAATGTTTAACGATTACGTGCTTTAGTTTCAATAGTTTTAAAAGTTCGGGTTAACTATAGAAATGACTAAGTTCGGGACTATGGCCCCTACGCTGCTTGTCACACAGACTTTGATGTTTAAATTTGTAAGCGTGTCGATATATCTCACAATTAAGATTTTCGTAAATTATTTGCTGGATCCGGGTTGGACTAAGATTATATGAATTTTGTGTGCGTTGACCAAGACTTTTCAAATTGGGCCGACCACGGGCTTGGGCTTTATTCTTTAGTATTTATTTATTCGTTAAATTATAAATTTGATCCTTATAGTTTATGGTTTAGGGTTTAATTAACTAACGTAGAAGTTGAATTAATTTATTATTTAACTCAACTCGCATGGAATATATATTATCCCTTTTTTAATAAAATAAAATTAAATAATATTCTTTACTTACCAGAAAAAAAAGAATAAAGTTGGAATTAAAAAAGAAAAGGAAAAATAAAATAAAATAAAATAAAATACCAAATACGTAACTTTATTGTGTGGCTTGTACTCAACTGGATTTGTATACATTTGAATGTGGAAGTTTGCTTTCAGCATCTTTTTTTTTTTGGGGCCCAAAAGAAAATTAAAGTTAAAAAAGAAAAAAAAGGCAAAATAGATCCATGAACCAATAATAATGCTTAAACAATACAAATTGATTATTAACACCGGAGTAAAGGAAGGGTACATGAATGAACCGATACTACATTCGAATGATAGCAATTGTAAAGATAAGCGGACTAGAAAAATGCATTTTCTTTTTCAGGCTCGATCATAAGAACTCAAAAGTTTAGTGTTTTTTTACTTGGAGCAATTCTATGTTAGGTGACCTCCTAGGAACCACGTGAGTGCGTACAAGGGCTTCACTCTTAGAAGCGAAGAATAAATCACGTGATCATGTTGTTGGAGATTGTTGGGGCCATCAAATACCAAATCCATATACCCAATATCGAACTGAATCTTGAACATGGGTTGTTACAACTGAACGGAGATGCAAGATAATGTTGGAGCCATCCAGTATCGATCCAAATTCTAAATCTTGGGCATAAATTGTTACAACTGAGTACTATGGTTCACTTTTAGAAGCGAACAGTAAGTAACATGATCATGTCATATGAGATGCAGGAGAATGTCGAGACCATCAAGTACCGAATCCTAGGCACGAATCGTGACCCAATATCAAATTCAAATTTCAAATATTAATTCGAATTTTAGGCATTTAATCACAAAATCAAATTAAAAAAAAAAAAAGAAAAGAAAAGAAAGTGCAAGTGGGAGTTTGATGGAAAATAAAATAAGGGGCAGATGAAGAGCATTGGACTATTTGTGCCGTCACTTCTCACAACCTTAATCAATCAATCAATTAATTAATCAATAATTAATTATTAATAATTATTATTATTTTGCTTCTTAATCAAATATTCCTTCTTTGATTACCCAACAAATTAGGCAAACACCCAAAGATCTTCATGTTCTCAAATCTCTAATCTTTCTAAATTTGAGTATCTTAAAGAATAATATTTATTTTTAAAAAAATAATTTAATTACACTATTTATTCCCTTTTCAATATATATATAAATTTTGAATTTTTATCTTCATTATATTATTTTAAAGATGAAAAAGTTAAAAGAATATTTTTTTTTCTCTTTTATTTTATTATTTTAATTAAAATTATAATTTTTAGTACAAAAGGACAAAAGCATAAAAAGAGTAGTTCAGAGACCGAAAAGGAAAGCTTAGTGAGATTTAACTGTTGGCATCGAGCTTTCTAGTTAAATGAACTGTTCCTCCGACCATATTAGGTCATTGATAAATTTTTGTCTTCTAATGTGAACAAATTTCTCGTATGAGATAACGAAGAACCCGGGTTTTATTTTTTTATGAAAAGGTGAGGAAAAATAAAGTGGGGTTGTCGGCAAGCGACAAGTGGGTTAGAATTACAAAAAAGGAAAAAAGGAGGGGGTAAAATGCAAAAAAAAAAAGAAAGAAGGTAAAGTAAGTGAGAAGTTAAGCAAAAATGATTCGATGTAGAAGCAACGCCGCATTCAAAATTGCTGATTGATCCCTTTCGTCTCCAAATTGGCCTCAAAATTAAATATAAATAAATAAGGGCGAGAATCGTAATTAACTAAAATTTTGTCAACACTGCCAATGGATTTTGAAATTGTATCAATACGACGTCGTAGTCAAATTCAGGCGGCTACTTTCATCCACCAATATTTTGGCAATTTGCAAGTTAGTCCTTGAATTTTTAGATTTTAGATTCTTACCCCGGAATAATTTAAAATAAAATTTAAATTTAAATATTATTTATAAATAATTTAAATCTCCAACTTAATTAATTAATTTTGAATATATTTATTTTAATAAATTTTATTTTTTTAAAATTAATTAAATATCGTTCGTTGAATAGAATTTAGATAAGCTCACCCGCCAATTATGACCACCGTACAGTCTAGAGAGAGAAAAAGACCCATAAGGTGATGTCCTTCTCTCTCTACAAGTGGAATGGCGGTGCACTCAATCTGTGGGCCCATCTCAACCTCGACTCCTATCGTCTCGATTCAAATTATTATATATTTGACACGTCGTTAGATGATATATTATTTTATTTTACTTTATAAAAATTAGGCGTTGAATGTATGAAAGAGAAATTATAGAGGTTGGCGGGTCGGGTTCAATAATTTGTAGGGTTGGGTCCACCGCCACCTCCTCGGACAGCGGCGCCGCTGCTCTTCACCCACCTCCACCTTCCTTGTTTTTTCTCTCCTATCAAATTTTTTTTATTTTATAAATAATTTCTCAATTTTTTCCTTCCAATTCCATTTTCGCCATTCTCTCTCAGTTTTTATTTTAGAAAAAAAAATTATTAGTTTCGAATTATTTTATTTTTATTTTGGGGATTTTTGAAGAAAATAAATGAAAGGCGATTCCACCGCTACCGGTGTACATCCGCTGTTTAAGCACTTTTCCGACCCCAGCTCCGCCCTCACCGACGGCTCCACCATCGAGGTGGTGCGGCGGCCGAGGGGTCGACCGCCGGGGTCCAAAAATAAACCGAAACCGCCTCTTTTCATAACCCGGGAAAACGACTCGGCTATGCGGCCGTACGTTCTAGAAGTGCCTGGAGGAAACGACGTCGTTGAAGCAATTTCGCGGTTCTGTTGTCGGAAGAATATGGGTCTTTGTGTTCTTAACGGCTCTGGGACGGTTGCGAATGTTTCTCTCCGGCAACCCTCGGCAACTCCCGGCGCCGCCGTCACGTTTCACGGCCGGTTTGAAATACTTTCCATTTCGGCTACTGTGTTTCCTCAAACGACGGCGTTTCCTCTTCCCAATGGCTTCACCATCTCGCTTGCTGGACCTCAGGGACAAATCGTCGGCGGGTTGGTCGCCGGCGCCTTGATTTCCGCTGGTACTGTTTTTGTCGTTGCCTCGTCGTTCAATAACCCCTCGTACCACCGGCTACCGGATGAGAATGAGATTCAGAATTTGGGATCCGGCGGCAGCGGCGAGGCTCATTCCCCACATGTCTCCGGCGGCGGAGATAGTAGCGGGCACGGCCACGGCCACGGGCAACCACTTCTGGAATCGTGTGGAGTGGCTATGTACAGTTGCCACGCACCGTCCGATGTAATATGGGCGCCGACGGCGAGACAACCGCCGCCGCCGCCGCCATACTGATCCATAACTTTACGTTGTGTTTTTTTTTTTTTTTTTTTTTTTTAATTTTCATAAATCTTTTTTCTTCCATTAATTTTCCATTACTCTCTTGTTAAATTTGTAGTGTTTGTGGTTTTGGTGTATAATTTTTAGATTGCGATTCTTATTATTTTTTTAAAAAATTTAATTTTAATTTTAATTTTTTTATGTTTTTAGCTAATATTAATTATAATCTTAAGAGAGCATATATTATAATTACTAATATTATATAATTATAATTACCTTAGCTTTTTATTTCTTCAAAATTAAAAAATACGTTCTTTAAAAATTAAATATGCATAACCCTAAAAATTATGGATAGATTATTGTTATGGAATATATCGACTAATTTAAATATTATAATCTCAATTAAAAAATTGACAGGTTAGTGAGTCGACTATTGTTATGGAATATCTCGACAAATTTAAATATTGTAATCTTAATTAAAAAATTGTCGGTTTGAATATTAAATTTTAAAAAGGAAATTAAAGGTCAATATAAGAATTTTATATTTATTCAAAATTTTACGAAGGTTTAAACTCATCTTATTTTTTTTTTACTTTTACTCGTTTTTTTACCAACCCGTTACCTCTAAGAAAGTCTCGATACTTCTAGAAACTAGAATCGAGATGTTTGAGCTAGGTACAGTGATTTTTGTAAAGGTTAACTAAAATACAATAACGAGACTAAAACATTTAAGTCCACTATATGACTAAAAGAATTAACGTGTCAACAGGTTAAGGCATATATTCTCGAGCAAAATGTTGAAGATTTAAATAAAAAAATAATAATATATTGAAAGGGCGGTGGGTATTAAGTCAAAAAAGAAATAGTGTTTAGGGTTTGGTGGGAGAGGAAGGATTTAAATGAATTGAATTTGGTCATGATTTTGACATTTAAGCCAATTGGATAATTAAATGGCACACAAAATCCATATATCCCTTTTCAACTAATGTCGGATTTCACAATTCACTCTCTTTGGGGGTCAGCATTCTTGTTGGTATACCGTTCGGTGTCTGACTTTGATAGTATTTGTAACCGTCCAAGCCCGCCACTAACAAATATTGTCCATTTTGGCTCGTATCGCTACAGCCTTACGATCTTAAAACGCGTCTGCAGAGAGATTGCATGCCCTTATAAAAAATGTTTCGTTTCACTCTCCAACCAATGTGAGATCTCATAATTCTTCTTTAGAGGTCAGCGTTCTCGCTGGCATACCGTTTGGTATTTGGCTCTGATACCATTTGTAATAGCTTAAGTCCACCACTAACCAATATTGTCTACCACAGTCTTAAAACGAGATTCCACA